GCACGGTATGTGTGTAGATCAACGACGACCACTCTAAGGCCTAAGCTGAGGGCAAAAGTGCGTAGGCCAAGCACTTGTTTATTGCATTCGTCACAGAAGTGATCAGAGGTAGACCTAGATCTAGCCTGTGTACTTTGCGGCAGACATGTTGGTGCGCATCCTCTTCAAAAAGATTACATGTCACACAGCAGCGAGCTGCCATCTGCAACGTTGGGTCCAGCTGAAGTTTTAGTAGGGAGTGGCGGAGCGCATGAAGTGAAAAGACTGCTCTGTCGAGGAAAAACAGCGTATCCTAGCAGAGGTGGATGAATAAATCAGTATCAAAGAATTTAAATCTGCTAAACGCTTGGGACTTCCAACGTAACTTTATCTACTTTCATTTTAAAAGAAAATGTTTAAAATAGTGGAGAATGGTGTAAGGTAACTCATCCTGGAGTAGTACATTGCTGCTTTCCTGAGCCAAAACCGGAACAAAGAGGTCAGTGACTTTTGGACAAAGAGGTCAGTTTTGGATAATGACGTGAAGATTGGACAATGAGGCCAGTTTTGGGCAAAGAGATTGGTTTTTATTAGAGAGATCAGTTTTTGGCAATGAAGTCAGGTCAGTTTTGGACAAAGGGGTCAGTTTTGGGTAATGGGGTCAGGTTAGTTTTGAACAAAGAGATCTGTGATTATCAGAGAGATCAGTGTTTTTTTGACAGAGAGGTCAGTTTCTCTTGACAGTTCCCTTATTGTTCTGCGCCGCAGTGACCGACGGAGAGTGGGCGAACAATCGCGGGAACATGAGCCGCAGCGTGTTCTGGAAGCGAGAGCTCATGTGGTAGTAGAGCGCAAAGTTGGCGCTGGCGTTGAACGCCTCCAGGGCGAAGCAGCCGGACCAGACGAGGAGCCAGGTGTTGCGGTAGCGGCCGTGGACGCTGAACTCGTGGTAGAGCATGACGAAGAGAAAGGCCACGGTGCTGGGCGTGAAGCAGGCGATGAACACGCACGCCAGCAGCAAGATCATCTTCTCCGTTTTCCGGTCGCGTTTTCCACCACTGCCTCCGCTGCTGTTGTTGGCGTGTCGGGCAGAGAAGGGTTTGTTTGCGGATTTTGGGAGAGCGCTGTCGCCGCCGCTGCCGTCGCTTCTCTTGTGACCGTGTTTATCATGCCTGTCGTCCGCGCGTGACGCCGCTTCACCGCGCGTCATCCTGTCGCGTTTCTCGCGGGTCTCCTTCAACTTGACGACCAGCACCAGGGTAAAGAGGACAACGGCCACGAAGGACACGAACTGGGTCATGAAGCTGACCAGGTGTGCCACACCCTCGACCTCCTTCCGGGTGGGGCGCGCCACCAGGCGGATGACGCTGGCGTTCCGGGCCGGGTGCCAGCTCCAGTCCAGGTAGAGAGTGGCGTACTCGCTGAGAACGCTGCCCACCAGCGCCACGTGGATGACCACCACCACGGTCAGCGTGACGCGCGGCGTGATCAGCCGCTTCACGTGGAGCGGCACCGCGATGCACAAGCACCGCTCCAACGTCACGTAGGCCGTGATCCAGCTGGAGATGCGCGCGAAGCACAGGTGGGGCCAGCCGCCGGCCAGGTACGTGATTTCCCGCGGCTCCACGGGAAGGTTCCACTCCCTGTCCAACCACGGGTAGGCGCACACGTTCGCCACTTGTAGCGTGATCAGACCGCACAGATCCGAGAAGGCCAGCGCACACAAACTGACGTTCACCGACTCCGCGAATCCCTGACGCCAGAACACCACAATGTTCAGCATGTTCGAACCCGTGCCTAGTACGCACAACACCTGGGTGAAACCCACAGTGACCACAAGTTCAAACATGTGCACTGTCCACTCGTCTACGAGGTCAGCGTGTTGCCCGTCTTGGGACCGCTGTGACTCGGACATGTCAGGTGTCGTCACCATGTTTGTTCGGAAAACCGAAAAAGACCACACACAGAAACCCCCCACCACAGAACAAAAAACAAACAAACAAACAATCCCAACCCAGAAAAAAAGAAAGAAAAAAAACCCCGCGAAACGTAGAAACAAACCCAACTACGGCCCGGTGAACAAACTGCTATCTATGTCCTCTTTCTGTCTTTCTTGCCTTCTGTTCTTCTTGATTTGATTTCAGCTCATGGGGATGCTTGGAACAAGGCAAACCTCCTCTTGACTTATGAGTAACTAGCTGGGTACCCGTTCAATGAACGGGCTCAAAAGAGTCGATCGTCGAGTCATTGTGGAATCACTGCGCACTGCTTGTGAACGGAAGCCTCACTTGTTCACAATGGCATCTAAGAAGACGGAC